CCCCAAAACCCCAAAACCCCAAAACCCCTAAATGCCTGGCCCTTATTGAATTTGCCAATAAAATATTTTTACAATAAAATGCTAATATCAGATAGTTCCAAAAGCAGCAGCATGGAAGGATACTCTCCTACTCAATGTAAGAAATTGGAATTAGGTTCCATTCTCATTAAGATATCTTATTGGCTTTACTAAAAGTTGATCACAACTAAAAAATTGACAATATAGATCAAAATATTTTAAACCCGCGTTTCAAAAAACAGAGACTATCATCAAAAAGAGATGACATAACAGGTAATTTTTCAAACTGTTAGTAGTTGAAACTTCCTTGATCAACTCTAATCCTTGCTTGCCTAGTAAATCTCACCCACCTTCCCTTGATTCGTCCTATTTCTGACCAGAGCCAGTGGATGCCTCAGTATATGAAGGAGGCTAAAAGGGCCTATGAGCATACCAAAAATAACTCAGTTGACAATCTTTGACCAAAAGATGAGGTAAGAAAATAAATTACGTAATATTTAATGAACCAATTTAATCCAACCTGGTCACTTTACATGCCAATTTTTTGCTAATTATCCCCACCCATGAAAGGGGGAAATCTTCCTCACCAAGCCAGAAGTCAAGTTGGTGACTAATTCTGGGCTAAGAGTAGCCTCTGAAGGGCTAATTTTAAGGAAACAATTCGCCGTTATAAAGCCTCTCAAACATAGTAGTAAATATTCTCTCGTTCAACTTGATATCTCTACTTAACATTTTGTCATTAAGAGAAGCATCTGGAGGCATGCTAAAGTTTTTACTCAACAATTTACCAAAAACTGCTAAAACTTAGTGCAATTCTTGGAAATCTTAAGATAAGAGTTTCTTCCAAAAAATTTATCCAATTTTTCCAAAAAGTTTATTTATAGAAATCCTAATAAGTTCTAATATTATAGCTGACGAAGGAAGTAAATGACGATCTGCTCGGATATTACAGAACAAAAGTGGCTGAAAAGGTATCTCCCTTGTCTAAAAGCTAGAAAGAAAGACAAAGGAAAGCTAGTGGTGTTATTGCCGACTTCAACTGGTACTCTGGAGGTAAGCACCCCCATTCGCTAAACACGACTAATTTGTGTACAAATTTCTGCCGACATTCTATTGCGGAAGGAAGACTTAATAATTTTCTTGCTATAGATACCCTATCTAAACGAAAAAGCGAAGAGGTAATTATTCTTTTTTCTTCAGAAAATTGACATAATTTAGCTAATAAAGATAGAAAACTGCCAAGAGGACTATTTTAGAAACAACGAGCAAAGGTCAAGAGGGGGTTCTCTCCAGGACCAACAAGACTTGTTCTTCTCAAAAGTAAGTATTTTCTCTTCAATGTTGCACTTCAAGGGGTCTAAATTGGCATCCTAAGAAAGATCCATTAGAGGATATTTGTTAATCCCATTCTGTAGCGGCAGCAAAAGGTGACAAGAATGGATAGGATATCCCATCTCAGAAGAGCTGAAGCACAACTGTAACTCTTTTGGTATGATCTTTAGCAATAGAGGCTCCAGCATAGATGCTGTAGATAGAAGAGGCTCTCAGATTATTATCAAACAGAGGAAAGATATTATAATGAACCTAAGCAAGTCTGAGGAGCGCCGTCGATCAAATATTTTGACAAATCCTACAATTATTATCAACAAAAGTAAGTATCTTCAGACATTTTGGATAAAGGTGATGATTATTTCAGGCTTATTTGTCGCTATTTCATCCCTCTATAAGATTGAATTTAACCTATCTGCTACTAGAAGGATTGAAGAATTCAGCTTCCTTTAAACATGCCAGATTGAGTAAAAATGGTAAGTGTTATCAAAAGTAATCTAGCAGGTAGTCTAGGCCAGAAAGGGTCTAAAATTTCTTTTTGAAGAAACCCTATAAGAAAAACAGCCCTTATAAAGATGAAGTCTCGCAAAAATATGAAATCCTTATCTTAATTCTCTTAATTCGTTTCAATAGTATTGCTTCAAGGTGGGGTTTTGGGGTTTTGGGGTTTTGGGGG